AAAATATATATTAAAAAGGTGTGTAGACAGAATGCAACCTTGTCGTACTCCCTGGTTAACTTCGAGCCAATCTCTTAACCCATAAGTGGTTCTTACAGCTACTTGTTGTTGGTCATACATGGCTTTTATTAGCTGGATGATGTGTTTCGGAAATTTCATATCGTTCATGTTATTCCAGAGGTTATCGTGTCAAAAGCTTTCATGGAATCGATGAAACACAGATACAGGTCTCTCTGATGTTCTCTGTTTTTCTCTATGATCAATTTCAGATTCAGGATCTGGGTTCTGGTACCTTTTTTTAGAGCGAAAAACCTGCTTGTTCATTTGCAATTTCTTCTTTTAACTTTATCTTCTTTCTTTCAGCAGTAACTTTCAACAAAATTTTGCTGCTGTGACTTATTAATGCAATTGTCCTGTTGTTACTGCATTAGAGTGCGTCACCCCTTTTTGGGGATAGGAGTAAAGACTGACTTTACCAGTCTTCTGGCCATCTTTCATTCCAAATCCTTGTAGAAAGTTTGTGGAAAAAGTATTCAATGCTTTCGCCAGCATTCTGATTAGTTCTGCTGTTATTTCATCTATTCCGGGCTCTTATTATTTTTTAATCCTTTTATGGCTTTCTAACTTCGTCAAGCAGCGGCGGTGGTTTATCTTCGCTGTCATTGAATCTATTTAATGTTGTTGTTAGATCTTCATTCTTTTGTATAGGTTGGAACACTATTGATTCCATCTATCTTTGACTTCTTTTCCATCACATAAAACTAGACCATCTTCAGTTTTGATAGTGTCCATTGTAGGCTTAAATTTTCGTGTAATGTATCGTACTCCTTGGTAGAGTTCTTTAGTTGTCTTGTTGATAGAGCAGAGAGTGTAGGGGTGTATTATTTGTCATGTTTGCGTGTGTGCTCTTGCATACTACAGCAAGATGTCCATTCTGTATTTTGGTGATGTCAGGGTATCATCCGTGCTGGTTACCAGGATGTTTCCCTCTGTGAGGTGTTCGTGGAGTTTAGTAGCTATGGCTATGTTATATTGCTCTTCGTTAGAGAAAAACTACCTTATTCGTCCCTTTTGTATTTCCTGTCTGATGTCGTTTTCCTTGGGGTCGTACGGGTCACCTGAGACTAGGGTTGCCTGCTCAGTTGGGGGGGGGGGGGGTTCTTTAGGCAATGTCTGTAGTGGTGTTGGTACAGCATTCTTTTGGGGGCTGATGGCCCTTGAGGGCAGCTTGCTGCTGCTCTGGTCTAACCAAGGTGTCGGGAGGCTGGGTTGCAAAGTATGTGGGAGTGATTGGGGAGATATGATCAAGTCGAGTCTCCAAGGCTTGAACGTGTGAAGCCGTCTCCGAGGGCTTCCTGACTAGGGGGAAGGGAGAGGTTGAACCCACCCTAAGAATCCTTCAGAGTCAGCTCTCCCAAGGTCGAGGTCAGGGAGGTAATTCCTGTTTAGAGCCTCCCTGGCGTGCTCTCTAAAGCCTCGTTCCGGGTCTATTATGTTCTGGAGGTGCGCATGCACCAAAACTATTTTCTTTTGACAGGTTGTTTTGCTGGCTTCTCTTGAAAGTTTTCGGATGGGACAAACTGTTGGCGAAGGTGCGGTGTGCCCCACCACAGTTAAAGCATTTTTGAAAGGACTTGTCAGTTGCGGTAAGTGTGGGTGTCAGATCCACACTCAAAGCATCGAGGTTTCTTTTCCTCCTTGTAGCTGGACTTCAGGTGACCATAGGCATAACAATTCATAGATTGTCCCACCGGAGAATCGTTCAAATTCGATTTGCCACGGTGCGACATATAGTTTGAAGAAGTAGGTGCCTTCTTCTTTAATTTGGTTTGCCGAGGCATGGTCGGCAAATCTTGCTTTCATCATGTACAGTGTTTTCATGACATGGACATTTTCCACTGTAGCGTGGGTAGCTGATGCCATGATTTCCTTGGCGATGTCTTCGCTGGTCTTGCTGACGACCTGTCTGTTTAAAGACTAGGGTGAGTTTAGCTCGCATATCGAGTAGAAGGACAGGTGAAAAACCCAAATTCTCTAGTTTAGAGGTGGTGGTGAGAGAGAAGAGATTTTTTGCTTGTTTGTTGTCCTCTATCAATGCAATATACCCATCATGGGTTGGATAGCACCGAAGTACTCTTATCTCAGCCTCGAAGAGTGCCTGGGCGAGGAAGTTCCGAAGGCTCGGTGACGGGCCGCCATTGGGGTGCATGTGGCCGTCAGGAATGGAGTGAGTGAGGATGCAGGTGATCGGTGAGATGATAAAAGAGGATAAAGATATTTAGAGGGAGAGTAGGTGAGGAGGTTGTAGTCGATGGTGATTGAATGCTCTTCAGAAGGAGTTACTGGAGCCTACAGCCTCAGCGTCAGCCTGGTTGCGTTCTCCAGTGCACTGAAGGATTTGAGCTTTGTGTTAAGCCTCTCCCTTATTGCCAATCCTTGCTACAAAGGGGCAACAGGTAAGAAGCGCACGCCTAGACGATTACAAAAGTCTTGGGGTCTTATTTAGGTCCAGATGGCCACAAGAAGTTGAAGAGGTTTAGGAGGAGAAAAAACACACCGAAATGTCACCTCAGACTGCTGGGCCTCCTTATACAGGTTTCCCTGTGATAGAGAGAGCTACGGGTCTGATACAGGGGTCTGAGGAGAGGTGTAGTGTTTGCGTGTCACTGTCAGTAAGCAAAGAAGGAAAAACCGCTGAGGGCAGTGGCTAAGCAAATATTCTCTGAAAACAGAGATGATTTACTATACATTTACGTTAATAGAGAGTATATAATAACAAGAGGGGGATCGCGGCGCGATTGAGGCCCCGCAGACCAAGGTGGCTCAATAGCACATTGATATACCGAATTGCTATTATTGCTACTCTCTTAGCGTGGGTAAACATACTCATACATACACACACACACATTTACAAACACACACACACATATGTGTATATATATCATATCACACTTGTTAGGTATGTTTCACCTCTACACATGTTTTGTACATTTCCACAATGTTTCTGTCTTTTTTTCAATTTTTAGCCTCTTTGTTGCCTATTTTAGGAACGATTTTTTTCTTTTTTCTTGTATCTAATTATGTATTATGTTCATATTTCTGTTTCTGATGATGTAGATTTAGTAAATCATTGAAACAATAAGATATTCACTACAGCCCTGGTTCTCATTTTCATTCTACGTCTACGATTACCTAGTGGAAAATTAACTGCTATATGGCATGGACCATGCAGCACGCAGTAATCCCTTGGACGTAGTTAAGATAACGCAGCCGATTAATCGACTACGGTATGTAGAACCATCGCTGGACCTATATTGTCGACAAAGGTCCTGTATGACTAATGCGTTGTTGCCCCTCCGGCGATTCCACGCAGATGCATTACCGCGCTGAAGGGAAGAGAAGGGAGAGGGATGAGAAGAGGGGAAGGGGCAAGGGAGGGGGGGCTGACGAGGGCACCCAAGACGCGGGCGAAGAGGCCCTTGAGGAAGCGGCAGCCGCCCAAACAGCTGCCTCTGAGGGCCGGCGACGTCCCTGTGGGTGAGGCGGTGCCGGAGCCAAGATCAGGGCCTTCCGTCGCCCTCAACGGAAAGAAAAGCTCACTCGGCGCGAAATACGCTCTTCTGATGGCGGCGCATCAGTTCCATGATCTGGGATTTCATCCTCGGGAGGATTTCGAAGCTGTCGCTTCTGTCAGTCAGCTGATGTGCAGTGGGTTTTCTGCTGCCGAGAGCTGGGTATTTTTTTTTTTTTCTTCTTTTTTTTTGCATATGAGCACACGCGCGCGCGCCTATTCCAGTATGCACATATATTCATATGTAAACTGTAGATCATACCTCTAACGAATGTGTGAATATGTATTTCCCTTCGATGAGACCATCGTCATTACCCAGGCTGATATAGGTGGGGGCATTGTTGTTATGGACAAAAGTGATTATATAATTAAGATAAACAATTCACTTTCCGATGCTTCTGTTTACAGGAAAGTAACGAAAGGTGAGGGGAAGATGAAAGTTGCCAGGCCTCTCTCAATAGTGAACTGAGAGAGGCCTATGTCCTACATATATATATGTGTGTGTGTGTGTGTGTGTGTGTGTGTGTGTGCGGCATGTGTGTATGTGTATACACAGGTATGTAGATACTGTGCATATGTATGTATGTATGTATCCATATTTCAGTAAAGATGGTAAGCAGCAAAAAATATATAGATGTCCTGTAATCAACAATTTTTATACATATAATTACGCTACGTATGTTTTCATGTCAAACATATCTATGCTTGCAATTACGTCTTATTTGGTCTCTAAACAGAAACGTTTACAGTGAGAAAGGTAAGCAACAAAATTATGAGTCATAGTCACATTCGATTAACTGTAAGCATGATGATGACAACGATAATGATTTACATGGTGAAACCGTATAATGCATATGATGATATTTGTGATTCGCAGTGATGTGATTATCCTTCTCATTATTACTATCATCACCATTATTAGCGTCACGGTTGTTGTTGCTGTTGTTATCATCGTTAGTAGTAGTAGTAGAAGTAGTAGTAGTAGTTTCAGTTGTGGTATTAGTAATAGCAGTAGCAGTGGCAGCACCATTACTATAATTTATTATTATAGTTATAACTATCGTTTTTAGTGTCATGATCATACACTCTTTATCACTATCATTGTAACTAATAAAAATTACGAAGTTAGTATAAAAGTAATGGCAACACCCAGTAAAGATAAGTATGGATTGCTTCAGAAAAAAGCATGCTATCACTACCCTCACCTAGATAATAGCGTTCTTATTCATAAATGATAAATGATTACATTATGTGAATCAAGCAGTTAATATTCACGCGTCACCAACGAAAGACGTGTTCAGAAGGCTTTCGACGTATCTAAAAGAAAAGAAATCGATATTTGTGTTTCCAAATTTCAAAATCTCGAGTCTTATACTTCGGATAAGTAAAACTCACCGAAGAAATGTAAGTTAAAAGCCACAGAAGCCAAATGCGTTTGAAGGCGGCCCTCGTGTTCACGTTCTTTGAAACTGTTTCTTGCCTGCAGTTATTGGATGGTACGTGCCTATACATCTTCTTATGATTTATAACAGTGTGTGAGTAACTAAGAGAGTGGTGAGTGAAAGAGTGAGTGAGTGATGGGCGAAAGAGTAAATAAGTGGTGAAAGTGTATCAAAAGAAGTATGCGAGGTTTAGAATTATGATTATCATTTAAGTAGCTCCCTGAAATTAGCAGTGTCAACTACGAAGTGTGTCATAATGTGCCTGCTGTAATGTTTATTGTTTTAGTATAAAGATGCCATTTCTACTGGTTAGTTTTACTGCTGATATATGTTTTTATTTGTTGTATATATATTGATGCTTCTCATTTAGTCAGCTGTGGGTCTTCCATATTTTTTTTCTGTGTATCTAACGATAATTATGTCACATAATCCGACAAAGTGTGTATGTATATATATGTACATACATACATACATACATATATACATACATACATGTATACATACATAGATTAATAGATACATGGATACAGAGATAGAGAGAGAGGCCTGTGTCCAGCAGTGGAATGAATGGCTGTTGATATATATACATATATATATATATATATATATATATATATATATATATAATATATATATATATATATATACAATTTTATATTTATATTATATGTATATGGAATGATAGATAGACAGACAGGTATAAATATTTGTGTATATATATGTATATATATATATACTTATATATGTACAAACACACATGCGCACTCTACCCCCCCCACACACACATATACATATATATATGTATATACGTGTGTGTGTGTACACACACACATACACACACACACACACACACACACACACACACACATATATATATATATATATATATATATATATATATATATATATATATATATATGTATATATATACACATACATACATATATCTATATATGTATATATATATATATATATATATATATATATATATATATATATATATATATATACATATACATATATACACACATGTACACATACATATATATGTGTACAGATATATATACATATATATATACATACATTTGTGTATATACATGTGTGTGTGTGTGTGTGTCTATGTGTCTTTGTGTGTGTATTTGCTTCTGTATATGTATGAAAAAGTATTTAGTGTTTACCCTGTCGTTATAATTTAATGCTTAAATTAATACACATGCATTCTCAATTTTAGAATGCATGCCGAAGAAGCGCTTGGAAACATACATAAAAGGCAGTGAGATGAAGCTCAGAGTCTGGGT